TCCAGGATACAGCACAGCACATATGTAATCTGGTTACAGGGCAGACCTAGGATGCCTCAGCCCCCCCTTGAGATGGGGGAGCCTAGGCCCCTAAATCCCAGCCCGTTGCCTAGGCTGCTTCCTCCATGATACCAGCCAGAAACCCAACTAACTCACTTCCAGCCCTGCCCCCAGCCAGGGCTCCACTCTCCTTCTTCCCATTGTTCCACTCCCTGGGAGATAACTGGTCAGACAGGTTCGAAGCCGCCTTGCATAATGACTCATCCCCTGCCCTGCTGGGCTGTGCTGCAGCCAGCAGCCAGTGGAGGTCACTCACAACCCACTGCCCAGCATAGCAATCAGCAAGGTACCCCCTACTACGTCACAGTCTACACTGGCATGATTTTGCGCAAATACTTTTAATGCAAAAGTTTTTGTGTTAAAGTATTTGCGCAAGAGAGCATCTACACTGACATGTGCTTTTGCGCAAGAGATGTGCTTTTGCGCAAAAGCATCCGTGCCAGTGTAGACGCTCTCTTGCGCAAGAAAGCTCCGATGGCCATTTTAGCCATCGGGCTTTCTTGTGCAAGAACAGTTCCGCAAAAGGGCTTATCCCTGAGCGGGAGCGTCAGAGTATTTGCGCAAGAAGCACTGATTTTATACATTAGAATGTCAGTGTTCTTGCGCAAGTACTCTCGGCCAGTGTAGACAGGCAGCATATTTTTGCGCAAGAGAGGCCGCTTTTGCGCTAGATCGCGCCAGTATAGACACAGCCCCAGTGTAGACATAGCCAGAAGGAAAGGGGCAGGTTGACCCAGTCTTACAGCTCACACCTAGCAGGTGTACCACAGTCTGACTCTAGGCTAGGCTAGGCTGGGCTAGGCCTGGCCTGGCCTGGCCTGGCCCGGCCCACCCCACCCCACCCCACCCCAAGCTCAGTTCACTCAACTCTGGAAGGGGAGAGGCTTGTTCCTTGGAGACCTCTTTCAATGATGGTGTCCCTCCTGCAAGCACTGGTGTCGTGTTTTACAGTTCCCACATTTAGGGGTAACATGATTTTTGATCCCACAACAGCCCCAAATTATTTACAACACACCACATTCCATTCCAACGCTGATCCTCCATCAGCCCTGGCTAAATGGGATTCACATAGCCACACCTCGGATTCCTTCCCCCTCCTGGCATGAGCTGTATTTACATAGCAGCAGTTAACAGTTAATTATCTTGCAGAGCTAAACAATTGGGCTGCATCTAGACAGGCATGATTTTGCACAAATACTTTTAATGGAAAAGTTTTTCCCTTAAAAGTATTTGCGTAAAAAAGCATCTACACTGGCACGGATGGTTTTGCGCAAAAGCAAATCTTTTGCGCAAAAGCACATGCCAGTATAGACGCTCTCTTGCCAAAATACTTTTAACGGAAAAACTTTTTCGTTAAAAGTATTTGCGCAAAATAGTGCCAGTGTAGATGCAGCCCTAAAGTGTGCTGACAGCAGGTGCCTCTGTGATATCTCTGGGTATGTCTTATCCCTGAGCGGGAGCGTCGGAGTATTTGCACAAGAAGCACTGATTTTGTACAGTACAAAGTCAGTGTTCTTGCGCAAATACTGGTGGCCAGTGTAGACATAGCCCAGGAGTGATGTGTAACTTGTTTGTATCTATATATAAAGTTGTGTCTTTGAGGGGTTGTATTTGTCTGACCTATCACACAGTGATGAATTCCCACATCACTGACTGAGTCATATCCATTGTCAGAGGGTATATATGCATAGTGGTTTGGCTATAACTGTACTTCCTTTGACAATAAACCTGACAGGACACCTTTGATCCTTATCTTTGTGGTCTTTGGGGGCTCTTCTGGCGTCTGCTGTATTGACGACTTGCACAAATCAACACAACACACAGAACCAAGCACACACCCATGCAGCTGAAAGGTTATCATCTGTGATGGAGCAAGAGCCCTGTCAGGACACCACCCCACTGAATCATGAATCCTGACTATTACAAGATCCAGTATAGTTTTGCAAATATGACCTCATTACACATTACTACCACCAAGCAACCATTACCTGAAGGTAATCACTAACTGAAAATCCACCCCCATTGTATTCACAGGTGTTGCACTAAAAATAGATTTTATATCCTCTTGGACAATATTTTTATTAGCATAAAATGGATGGTTTTTATTCTTCATCAGGCCTTTTACTAACAACTTGTTAGGTACCTATGTACAGTAGCTCTCCATGAAGCAGTGAAGCCTAATGGATGAACCACAGGACTCAGGAAGCATGGGCTCAATTCCTAGCTCTTCAACTGTCCTGCTGGGCGACCATCTCTATGCCTCAATTTTCCCACCTGTAAAATGGAGAGAATATCCACCTCTTTTGGAAGAAAAGCCCCATTAAGAGCTAGGTATTATCATGTGATGGATTGCAGGGAAGGGGGGGGGAGTGTTTCACACTGTGCCTTATGTCCAGTCTATTCTGAAGGATTATGAGAGCTGTACATGTATTCGACCACAGATATGTCTGTGTATTTCCTTCTAGGAATAAGCTATACTGATCTTGCATAAGGCACCTTCATAGCAGCATAACTGTGATGAAAGCCGTGGTGGATTAGACACTGGGACAACTGACCCAGTCCACAGCTGACTTATGCAGCCCTGGCAGGCAAGCAGACCCTGCATAACAGACAGGCATGACTCCAGCCACACTGGATTAGCCCCAACAGGCAGGCAGAACTCTGGCCCCGGTGGAGCAGTCCCAGCGGGCAGGCCGGAGTGGCCCCGGTAGGCAGATGAGACACTGGCCAGAGCGGCCTCAGTAGGTAGGCAGGGCCACAGCTACATCAGCAGTGGGTATGTGCCCAGGACAGGGTGGGGCAATGCCTCAAAGCCACATAGGCCCAGCATGGGATGGGGCAGCAAGGGGCAATGGGGAGTGGTGGCAGGCCCAGCGTCAGGCAGGCCCAGGGCAGTGGGGGGCAGGCCCAGATGGGGCAGTGGGCTGAGGGGCAGGGGCAGGAACAGAGGGGAGTAGGGGCAGTGGGGGGCAGGCTCAGGGCAGTGGGGCGCAGGGGCTGCAGGCCA